AACTAATTAAAGTTACAAAACTAAGCTTGTTAATTTGAAGTTAGCACTTTTGGGAGATTTTTAGAGACTTTTTGCTGTGAAGAAAATTAACTCAGAAGAGATAGCTGATTTAGACAATCTCTCCACCCTGTGACAGGATGAAAAGAGAGAGAAAAGTGAATCAGGCACTGGACCCTGTATTAGAAAATTTTATCTGAATGAGACAACAGCAACCAGCAAACTTTTTCTCTCCATCACAGTTCATTTAGTGACCATTTCACCAGAATCATTTACAATCACTAAACAAGGACTACTTTTGTATTAGAGGTTGTTTTGTTGTTGCTGTCTCAGCAACCAACTGCCTCTTTATTTTTATTGTTGTTAACTCCTCACCATCATTTGAGATGGGCAGCTACGTGCATTGAATAAATATTTATTTTAAATGACCATATTAGGATGCACTTCTTTCTCTCCTTGGCAGATATAAACATTCGAACATGGTGACATGATCAGTTATCCTGAGACAAGAATAACTACACTTCAGTAGAGAACCCAAATAAAAATCTGAAGAGATTTAGAGCTAAAAAGTAGGTCAAATTAAAAAAAAAACCTTGGGCCTCCTGATTGACTTGACATCCATTCTGAAATAAGGGAGTAATAGCAATGAGGTCATGACAGGAAGAGCAAATTTTTGTGAAGAACGAAGGAAGGAATGCATTTGAAGCATTTCTCAGTAGCAAAAGCTAAACGACTGAAGATAACAATCCTAAATCAACAGTTTTAATTTACTGGGGAAATCAAAACATTTGGAATTATCTGCAAAGATAATCCTGTCAGGTTGAAGGATGGAGATGGGATTAGCAATATTGTTATTGAGATGCACACTTTATGATTCACTTCGAATATGGAATGAGAGTGTAATCAAAGGAATGCCATTGCAAACATTTGAGTGGGAAAAACAGAAAACATCCTTGCCTTCTAATTATCTGTCATGTGTTTTTATAATATGCACTGGAAATATTGCTCAGAAATCCAAATATTTACGTGTAATAAAATTATGAAAAAGTATCTGCTACATTACTGCATGGCACTGATCATACATTTTTCCCATGAATTTTACCTTTATAATGGGGTCTATCCTTTAAATGGCTAATTTTATTATTCTGGTATTTTAAATAATCATTTGATCCCCTTATTAAAATTGCATATATTACTAGATTTTTTTAAGCCCCAAATTTTTAAATTTACAATTGTCTTTGAATGGTTATAGATTGTATAACGTATTTTATTTCGGGCAGTTTCTGTGTGTATACTGAATTCAGCAATTTACATGGGACTTTTTCAAAAGATTTGTTTTGCGTGTCAATGTCTGAAATAAAATGACAAGTTCAGAATGAGAGTATAAAAACATAGTCAGCTTTATCATTTTGGAGTCACTACTGAATTTGAGATGTTTTTTTCATTTTCTGCTGAAGAGCCAGCCACAACTTAATGCATCACAGGCCACAGGAATTCAGGCCTTAACTATATTGCCTAATTTGGAACAATTCCTTTTTCTCCTCTTTATGTCTTCTGTATCATTCTTTAAAAAATTTTTTTTATTAACAAACATGTAAAATACACACACACAAAACTTAAGACATACACATTTACACTATACAATACGAACAGGAGCTTCCTGTTCTTTCTAATAGCAATTATCAATCGATACTGCTCACCTTATATTATTTCCCCTTCTATTGTATTTTATTCGGATTTCACCATTCTTAACCCTCTTATTTTAATCATAACTATTATTTTTGAGTTTTGTTATATTCCTTCATTGATTCTTGTTTCTTTCCTCGATCCACCTATACCATTTATCCCATATCTGGTAGAATTCTGATTCTTCTTTTCCCTGGATTTCTTTAGTTAGTTTGTCCATTTCAGCACAATCCATAACCTTTCTTATTATTTAATCTTTGCTTGGAGTTAATTTGTTTTTCCATTTCTGGGCAAAGGCAATCCATACCGCCGTAATTATATGTAGTATTAAATACTGGATTTCTTTTTTGTATTTCACAGACATTATTCCTAATAAAAAAAACTTCAGGTTTCCATTCTATTTTAACCCGTTTTTGCCTCCAGCCAATTTTTGATCCTTCTCCAAAAAATTTTAGCCTCCTCACAGGTCCACCATAAATGGTAATATGTTCTGTGTATTGATTCACATTTCCAACATTTTGGGGAGGTATTTGTTAAGATTTTAGCTAACCTTCTGTATCTTGATTTTATAATTTAAAGCTATTTCTTGTAAATTATCTCAGGAAGGTTTCCTGATACAGCTTGACAAGGAAGCATTTAACCATGATGAAAAAGAAAAAGCGATGGTGGTATTGTTTTGAGTTACAGTATGCAGGCTGATTCTGCTGATTGCCGACTGCCAGCAGTTCGATCCTAACTGGGTCAAGTTTGATTCAGGCAATATGCCGATTCTGTAAACCGCTTAGAGAGGACTGTAGCGGTATATGTCTAAGTGCTATTGATACATTTTAGAAGACCGCTTTTTTGCTAGCTTTAAAATATATTTTAAGAAATGTATAGTCAAAATTGCATTCTTCTACACTTTTATCTGTGTCTTTTTCACCAGCCGCAATTTTATAATAAAACAGGTATTTCTCTTTGCTGACTGGTGCACTCAGCTGGATAGATCAGATCTGTTGCTGCAAAGAGGGCTTTCACATTTCCCCCTTGTGCTGCAAAGCAACAGTAAATTGAGGCATAAGTTGAACAAGTCCCATCCTGCCAGGAGCAGCTTCATCGCCATTTATATTCCAAACAATGTTTTGGACAAAAAGTTGTTTTCCATAGCTATTAGCAAAGATCACAGGATAAGTATTTCAGCTGCACAATTACACTTTTTTGAATAAACAGTCTTTTCTTCCCATAATCTGGATTTTGGACTACTTCTATTTTCAGGTATGTATTCACCTACAGAACTAATCATTTTCTAAAATGCCATCCAGCTCTTGCTTTAAGAAACTGATCATGGAGCTGGATCTAGAATTGCTCGGATTTAAACTACAGGACTGCTATAGAGGACAATATATTTACCAAACAAATCCTTCGTGCTAGTCAACCACAAAGGAAAGCAAGAAAAAACAAACGCTGATTTATTCCCGGTAACCGGATTACATGGCTTGGAAGAAATATTCTAAAGCTAAAAATCTTACAGGAACACCTGGACAAAGTGAAGGAAATTAGTGCAATCTTGTGAAAGCATATTGTTAATATGTTAGGGTCAGATTGATTACTGTTTGTTGATTAATCCCAAAGTCTGACATCACATATAGTACAAAACCACGACCCGTGGCCTAGAAGACACAATGGATGCACCCATAGAATGCACTAAGCCACAATCAAACAAATCACTATTTAGCATGAGACATGTACCAAAACAATTTTGCTTACTCCTTCGTACTGTGAGCCTGTTCAGCACAACTTTGATTAACACAAATTGTGAATCCATTGTTGTGATTGGGTTGCAATGTTATGGAAGGATGGAAAGACAGAATGGGAGGTAGACACACACACACACAGCTTTACCATAACAAAATCACAGATAGTGAAAATAAGATCAATTATTACATCACAATAATATTTCTACCGCACAGGTCCATGGATCTTATAAACTATGCAGCAGCAGCTACAAGCAAAAAGGTGCTTTTAAGCTATGAGGGCCCCAAACAGGGTACATGCTGTTCCCATCTATTTTTATAATTTCTGACAAGCTTGGCTAGTTTCAGCTTGCTACTCTTCTCATACTTCCTAGTATTTTTCCACCTAAGGCCTAAGTGCTATCACATCATCCGGTTCACATGGAAACTCAATGTTCTGCAGATTTTGTGTTTTGAGAACTGTCTCTTGTTCTGTAAACTGTTATTCCTAAATCTTCATAAAAGTGTTCATTCTAATATTCTTACACATGCTGCATAAACTGAAATCTCCTAGAACAAGTCATTCTGCTTCTACATCCTATTTTGAATGTCTCTCAAATACTGCATCTCTGATACAGGTTCATTCCTACTTTCATACAAATACTTGACACAAAATGCTCTCTCTTAGATTTATAAATGAATGAAAACATATACATGACAGCTATATAGTAAAACTAAATAATACGGTCACCAAGTAAACTTGCTTTTGAGATACAACTGGATTCCACTTATGTTCTCAACAACACTGATGCTTTTCCATTTTCATAGCATTTTTTTCTCTGATAATTTAAAATCAACACTAGGTTGCATCTCATTTGTAAATGCTGCCCACTGCTCATTTCTGTGCCCCCCCCACCTAAGAATTTGTATCATTATCTCACTATAATTGTTTTTTCTGACTTCAACCATTTAGGTTAGAAGATAATCTCCTTCCGTAAAAAAACCCCAAAACTTCCTTGTGTAACTCAGGGATATTAAACACTGAAGCAACTTTAACAGAGGGCAGAAATCTATTTAGTATGAAAGTAATAAAATTTCCGTTAATGTGAATCCTTTTAAAAATTACTCCATTGCAGTCTCATACACACATCAACACTTAATGTTGATATCATGCCAAGCCATAAATCATGACAAAACACAATGAACAAATTCATGCAATATGTTTAGCCAAACAAGCTATTCTGCGGAGTAATACAGTATGTAAATCAGAAGACATTTATATGATGTACACCCACAATATATATCAACAAGGAGCAGCAAATTGGGTAGGAAAAACATTAGCATTGCAACTAATTAGCTTTTGAAAGAGTTACTTCCTTTATGTGTCTATGTTAAATTATTGTCTGTTTAAAAATGATGTACAATTTTAAATGGACAAATTAGTTTTAATAAAATTTGCCTTTTCCTCATCTTGGTTTAAATCAAGGTATAAAATCTAACTATGTATTTAAATAATATATTTAAATTCAACTTTTTCATCATAAGCATATCTGTTCCATTTGACTCCATTAACCAAACATATCTAATGCTGCTCATAAAAACTTAGTATCTCCACATGTGGCCTCTTTATGATTATTGAAGCATCAAACATTTTTTTCAGAAACTAAAGAATGGAGGAAAGTAATCACTCCAACATACATCACAAAAATCAGCTTGTTCAATAATGTGCTGTCAAGTGGAAACCGAAATAATTTCAAACATTATGTTATTCAGGGCATCTTGAACAATACAAAAAATTATAATTAAGGCATTGCCAGCAGCAACTGATTAAAAGAAAATGACAAGTGTATTCACATTTCTCACTATCTTCCACTCATTTTTATGACATGTATGCCAAATAATTAAATCACACTAATTTTCAAAGAGGTAAATAAGGAAAAAGAGAGCCATCTTTAACAATGAATTATAGATTTGGAAAGATTTTGAACAAACAACTTTCCACTTGAATAAGGGGGAAATGAATGGACTCTTATATATCACATTATAAATAAAGGACAAGCAATCAATTAAAGTTCCTTCTTGGTACCTAAAAGAAGATGCTTTTTAGTTTGAATTTTTGTTTTTTGTTAACCACCTCAACCCTGACTCTCAGAATGAGATGGATGCTCAATTTAGATTGTAGCATAAATTCTTCTTTATTAAAAGGAAACAACCCTGGCCCTTATTGGATATTGAAGTGTTTGTGTAACAGGTTCTGAGAATATCAGCATCTATCTGAAAAGACTTTGAAAATAAGACCTCAGTAAAAACTAAAGTTTCACCCTGTGTCCTATGACCAATTAGGTCACAGAAAGAAAAACTATATATGATGCCATGTTTTGGGGAGGTCTGGGAGGCATTGCTTTTCTGGGTTGGGAGTGGCACTATGGAGCAGCCTCCCCTGTTTTGGAGGTTTTTAAGGACAGAGTTGTTGTGGAGAACCTTCTCTTGATATTGTCATGCCACCTTCATTTTCTATTATCATTGTTTGTAGTTTTCTATTTGGATGGTATTGTTTTACTCTTTATAGTTGTTAAATTGTGGATTGGTATTTTTTAATACTTTTAATACTATGTAGGCTGAAGAATCTCTGGATTATGTGGGTTGGAAATGTAGAAATGAATACAGAAGCTGAAGAGCTATCTTGATAACAAATTGGACTCTGCTCAAACAAATCTTCCCAAGCAAGGATTTTTTTTTTGTTTTGTTTTCTCGCTGTACATTAATTGGGCATCAGTATTTCATAGCATGATGGATACGTTTGTTTATAGGCATGTACATTGGTTGCTTTCTTTCTTTTTGCAATGCCTGCAGCTTTTGTTGCTCTTCCCTAAAGCAAGAATATATACTATAATCCAAAAATATTAAGCTCTTAGAATTTCCAGCAAGCATGGTTATTTGCTCAGAATTCTGGCTCTTGAAATCCAGACATATATGGAAAGACAACAACCCAGATTGGTAAACAGCAATGATGATAAATAAGAATACAGACTTAACTCACAGCAGTCAACCAACAACATATTGAAAGGATGTAGGCCGAAAACATTCTAGAAATTGTTCTTTATTTCTAGACAAGGCGTTAGCTCTATATAACTTCAAGAAAATCTGTTCCAAACCCCTGGAAAAAATAAACAAATGATATATTTTATATTCTAAATAATTTATGATCACGATTGGGAAAAGATTATGGCAAGGTCAAGCACCTATAATGGCCTCAAGCCATTATATACATATCTGTATAAAAGATCAGGTGAACTTGACTAGAAAAAAATTATTAAGATCCTCCATTGTTTAAAAACATCTTCAGAAAAAGGCAAAATAGTAAAATTTACATGAAGTAAGGTTTAAGTTTATATGGCATTTCACTGATAGGAGCCAAATTCAAATGCTCCTTCCAGTCTAAACTTCTCATTCCAACTTTAGTTTCTTTGGATCTCCTCCATCTTCAGTTTTCTTTTCAGACGGTCTTTTCTTTAAACCTTTCAGTTTTCTAGTCTGCAGTTTATCCAGGTCCTGTTTCTGCATGTGTATCCGCCCATATTTTGTCCCAAAGACATCATGAGAGACATTCTTCTTCTTCTTTGGCTAGAAATACAAGAAAATGCCCATTTTTGTGATCTAGAATGACATTTCTTCAAAATGAAATCCTTCTCCAATAACGACCGGAAAATGTCCTTCCATTACAATTGAAATCTAATTAGTTACTTCATTATTTCACCTAATTTAAGTTAATTAGGAGAAACAAAGCTATGTCATCTGGAGAATTGTATTACTCTCTCATTTGTGGACCAAGTTCAATTCTAATGCTCCCTAACTCTATTGCCTTCCAATGTTCCGACTCCTCCCAGAATTCTCATCAGGAGCCCAGTAGGTTGATCCACATACGTCATATGAGGAAGGCAGTCAAGTTAGAGAAAACTGGTTTAATTTGCAAAAACTCCACAAACAACGATTTAAGGATTACAAAATTAGACTAACTCTGTCATGTCAGGTTAGCTCTTTATGGTATTATCTAAACACATCCATGGAGAGCCAGTTTGGTATAGTTAAGGAACCAGCCTAGAAACTGGGAGACCATGAGTTCTAGTCCTGCTTTAGGGATAAAGTCATTCTCTTTCAGTCTAAGAAAGCAGCAATAGCAAACTACTTCCCAAAAAAAACTGCAGGGATTAGTCCAGGCAGTTGCCAGAATCAAGACTAGCTTGAAGGCATACATACAAGGAAATCCCTACCTCAATTAAATAAATGGTGACTACAAATAAGCCAAGCAATCATCATTTCCAAAGTAGATTCAAAGGACATTTGTAATCTAAAATAATCCTTAAAGTACCTTAAGAAAAATGGGGTAGCACATATTAGTGGATTTAATTAAGTAAACATAACTATAAAGAGTTGTAGTTCAGTTGCTCTGATCCACAAACAGAAAATATATATATTTTCAGTTATGTATCACTTTCAGTTCTGCACTTGGGGCAGATTTTCCTGGCCTAAATGTATAAAGACTTGTCTACATACCTTGAGAGCTTTAGGCTGCTTTAGTGATAGTTTATACAGATCATCTGATGCCAAATGCGTTCTCCTTATTACCAAATCTAATGAGGGTCCCATATCTTCAAGTTCAATCCTTGGTATTTTACAACCAGACTTTTTCAATAACACCCTTGAAAATAGGACAAGAGGAAAAAAACCTTATGTGATTAGTTCATCTGACATTCGAATCATTGTAGCAATCCTCCTTCTTCCAGACAGTTCAGTACAAAGAACAAATCAGTTCTATGCAGTTCATATCAATATCTCACGCCAAAGCACAAAACTATATCAGGTCTATATTAAAAATATCAATGGATAAATATTTACTAAAACCAAGTAGTGTATAATCATGATCAGGACTAAGCAGAAAGGAGCACCCCACAATATGCCATAAATTTTGCTTTCCAAAGGAATGTAAGCAGCCCTTTCTCCATAGATTCTTTCTGGAGAAACACCATGAGAAATAATGGCCATAAGCTTTTGAGAGATAGAAAATATTGTTTCATTTACCATAAAGATAACATACTTTGGCTTATTTTGTAGAAGAGTATTTTGAGGTAAACATTAATTTATAATGTCCTTTTTGGGCTTATACTAACTTTCAAAGGGAGAAATTTAATGAAATCAAATAGTGCCAAAAATATTATTAAAGAAGTTATAGAAAATAAATTAAAGGTACAGGATATATTGTAGGAAAAAATAATAGAAATACAACAAGAATGCAGCTTGGATAAAAGAGATAGAGAAAGAAAAAAAGTGTGTGTGGGGGGGAACAGCAGAAATGGCGAAAATTGCAGGGAAGTTCAAATATTGGTCAGCATTGGACAAAGATGAACTGCTGGGTTTTGGGTTGAAGCATCTAACTGGGCAATTAGATTTTAATATCTACATTTGGAAAAAAACCTATACAAGATTTTTTTTTTCTTCCTTCTCCTCCTGTATGCCTCCAAATTTAAAGTCTGGGTAGAAAAAAGAAAACTTCAACATCATTCTGCTGTGTCTAGAAGACAGCTGGATACTGTCCTCATCACCACATGCCCATTTCACCATTGGCATCATTCAGTTCTGTCCCTTTATTTATACATACTCCCCATCTACTATTAAAGCAATAGAGACATCCAGTTGTTCATCAGTTTATTTTTGATCCATATTTAATTTTAAAACTAAGGACTTGGTGCAATTCAGTTTCCAAAATAGAAACCCGATCATCTCGTAAGGGAAATGGATTGGTTGAAGGATAGCTGAGTAATTTCTTCTCCATCCTTGTTGAAATTACACACAGAAATAACCAATTGTAGCCTAAGAGCAGCTAGCTGCAATTAATATACTTTAACATAAATTCATTAATATTAATTCTTAATTAATATACTTCTTGGTTCATCAGTCCCAAGTTCCCTTCCACATACCAGTTGTTTAAAAACATGCACAGCAGGTAGAATGTTGCGGTGCCAAAGCTGGATTAATAAATATCAGACATGACTAAGTTTGAAAAGAGATGTAAAGGTAAAGCTTCCCCTCACACATATGTGCTAGGCATTTCCGACTCTAGGAGGCAGTGCTCATCTCTGTTTCAAAGCCAAAGAGCCAGCGCTATCCGAAGATGTCTCTGTGGTCATGTAGTCAATATGATTAAATGCCGAAGGTGCACAGAACATTGTTACCTTCCCACCAAAGGTGGTTCCTATTTTTCTGCTTGCATTTTTCCCATGCTTTTGAACTGCTAGATTGGCAGAAGCTGGGACAAATAACGGGAGCTCACTCGGTTACATGGTGCTAGGGATTCTAACCACCAACCTACCAATCTTTCTGATTGACAAGCTCAGTGTCTTAGTCACTGAGCCACCGTGTCCCTGTGAAGAGATGTACCAGCTCATAACAATGAGCTGGTACAGGTAAACAATGTCTTCTCTGTATTCTGTCTTTCATCATTTGAAAGTAAAGCAAATTCCTTTTATAATCTTATCAGAAACCTTGTTCTTATTGCATCTAAATCGTGGCCTGACAAAACCGCGCTCGTCAAAATAGCGGTGACAAAACCGCATCGCTAAAGCCGCGACGTCATCACCGCGGCGACAACAGCGTGGTGACAGAAGGGCGCTTTAAAACAGCGCGGCGGCAGAAAGCCAATTTAAATTAAGGTAAGGGTTAGGATTAGGTTTAGGGGTTTGGTTTAGGGCTAGGTTTAGGTTTAAGGTTAAGTTTAGGGTTAGGTTAGGTTTAGGGTTAGGGTTAGGGTTAGGGTTAGGTTTAGGGTTAGGGTTAGGGTTAGGGTTAGGGCTAGGTTTAGGGTTAGGGTGCTGAGTGC